AAAACTGTGCAAGACTACCCCAGTGTGCACCAGACGACACACACCAGAGCTCTTGCCACGGCGCCATCTTTACGGCAATCCAAGCCGTAAGAAAATTGTGAAAAAACGCATCTGCGCATGCGTCAGCCGGCGCAACTCCATTCATTTGAACGAGAGACTTCAAAAATTCACAGCAAGTAAACTAGAGTGGACTCCCCCAGTGGGGGCGGGTCCCAGCTCAAAATTGGCCAAAATGGGGGTGGACCCGGGATAAGAATTAGCCAATGCTTGAATATAGCATCTTCTTAACCTCTCGAAAACACCTTTACAGGATGGTCCAAAAGTTGGTTCTTGGCCAAAAGTTCCGTTCCACATGTGTGTCAATGCTGAGGGGGGTGAATTATTTTGGTCCACTCTAGTTTACTCGCTGTGAATTTTTGAAGTCACTCTTTTAAATGAATGGGGCTCGTGCCGGCTGACGCATGCACACATGCGTTTTTTCCATGTTTTTTTCACATTTTCCAGCCCCCGCGGCCATTTTGAATCACATCATGAAAGCCGAATTTTTGGCCCATTAGTTAGAACGGCGGAGATAGGCGTGACTATTGTCCGTTAATATATACATTCTATGGTTGCACCTGACGTCATGTAGCTAAGTCCTCCGAGGGAAAGGAAGGACATCTCCCCATTAAGAGCAACGTAAAAAATATCACCGATTCCGAGTCGAATTGCTCTTTTTCTGTGGCGTGTTCAGTTGTGGCAACTGCTCATATCAAGTGGATATGAGTTCTATTTTGCTAACATTTAATTCTCTAAAGGGTGTCAATTTTTAGGGAAATGCCTAATAATGAAATGAAATGTATTTCTTAAGGTCATCTCAAACCAACATGTACATGTGTAACAAAGCTAAAATCATTCTGTACAATAAATCTTCTCACATAAAATCTAGTCATTGTGTTGTAAGAGTCATTGTTCATTGTACTTTCTGAGACTGTAAGGACCAGGGTAATGTCTGAAGTTGTATCTGAGCTCTCTGCCCCAGGAAGGCTGTGTTTGTTGCAGCCCCCGATTTTAGCTTAACGCCACGGAGCACAGGTCTGAACTTTTTGTTATTTACAGCTCAACAAACCACCGAAATGCCAATAAAGAGTCATATTTCTCACCTCAAATGTTGTTAAAACTAACATTCGTGACCCATTTATTGTACTATTGATCAGAACTATCATCTCAGACGTGGTGCTGTTGATACCAGAGTGACGATCCCCACTGTTGTCACTTTAACAGCTGCTTAATCCTCATTGTTGGAAAAATTTGACTCATTTAAACTCTACAAGGCGTACTCTGCATTGAAAATAGTTTTCACTCATAATAAGAGTGATATTAAGCCGAAAAAAGCTCCTGTATGTGCGTTTTCCCCAATCCCTGGTGATCCAAGAAGGCTTCCTATTCAAATGAACGGCTTATGCTCAGCAGTGCATGGGACTCACACCGGGACCAAAAGATTTGCCGGAACACAACCATATTTGGGCATTGTCTGGTCCTCCCGGTTCTGCCAGTGGGGGCGGGTCCCAGCTCAAAAGTGGCCAAAATGACGTGCGCTGACATGCTTGGTATACCACCCCGGGCCGATGGGGGTGGACCCAGAAGAAGAATTAGACCTCTCAAAAACGTCTTTACAGGATGGACCAAAAGTTGGCTCTTGGCCCAAAGCTCCGTCCCACATGTGTGTCAATGCTGAGGGGGGTGAATTTTTTTGGTCCACTCTAGTTTACTTGCTGTGAATTTTTGAAGTCCCTCGTTCAAATGAATGGAGCTGCGCCGGCTGACGCATGCGCAGATGCGTTTTTTCACAATTTTCTTGTGGGCGGGACCACTCGCAGCCATTTTGGATAGCTCCAGTAGAGCAAATTTTTTGGCCCATTAGTTAGAACGGCGGAGATAGGCGTGACTCTGTCCGTTATATACAGTCTATGGTTCTGCCCAGTGGACGACGTCCCGTGATGCGTTGCACCAAATACGCTGGTGTGGCTCTCATGCATGTGCACAGAGGGGCTTGGCCGCGCTCTGACCAATCAGCGCCGATGATTGGTCAGAGCGGGAACGAAACGAGCAGAGTTTGCGGCAGTAAAGTGTGGATTTTAAGAAAACCGAAGGATTTAGGAAGAAAAAAAAGTTCATGACGACAAGGGACACTAAAATCCCCACAAAATCCGACCTTTATGAAAGCTGTAGGTTCTTTGTCAGATGAGGTCGAGCTGTTTTAATTTACATTGAGTTCTATGGGACTTTTTTCTGGGTAGCCCGTGTGAATTTAGTCTGCAGTACCACGGGCGCCCCCTGTGCCCGTGGGTGGGACAGCTATAAGCCGGTGATAACCTATCCAGTTATTATAGATCTAGGGTTTTCCCACATCGCCCATTCTATTCAATTGCTGGGTTGCACCCAGTGGGCGGGTCCCAGCTCAAAAGTGGCCAAAATGACGTGCGCTGACATGCTTGCAATACCACCCCGGGCCGATGGGGCCGGGCCGAAGAAGAATTAGCCAATGCTAACATATAGCATTGGCAGACCTCTCGAAAACGTCTTTACAGGATGGTCCAAAAGCTGACTCTTGGCCCAAAGCTCCGTTCCACATGTGTGTCAATGCTGAGGGGGGTGAATTTTTTTGGACCACTCTAGTTTACTTGTTCTCTCAATCAAATGAATGGAGCATGCGCCGGGTGACGCATGCGCAGATGTGTTTTTTCACAATTTTCTTGTGGGCGGGACCATTCGCGGCCATTTTGGATAGCTCCAGTAGAGCACATTTTTTGGCCCATTAGTTAGAACGGCGGAGACAGGCGTGACTCTGTCCATTAATATATACAGTCAATGGTAAATGCTGCAGCTCACAGGGACAGGCCTGTGGGGTGCGATCAAACTGTTTTCTCTGTTTATCGCAGTTTAAAAAGTTCAAAAATATTTCATTTACAATCAACATGTTTACTGTTAAGAGGATGGCTCATAAATTGTGTTTTTGAAGTAAATATGGGTCTTAATGGCGCTCAACCACAGCTTGTAAGTGAAGAAAGCCTCAAGGGGGCGCTTGAACTCATTTCCAAATGGAGGATTACATATCTGTGCTCAAACTATTGTCTGGACTTAAACAGGAAACTGGTCTGAACTGAACTGGTCTGTGCTGTTCATTAATAACTAAGGTATAGGTATAATCATATGAACACATGATTGATCCCCCACCGCACGTCACTGGTGTATCCAGGTCTTTAATCTGCACTCTGCACCGTGGGCGGCACAGTGGCTGAGTGGATAGCACTCTCCCCTCTCAGCAAGAAGGTCCTGGGTTCGAATCCCGGTTGGATCAGGGCCTTTCTGAGTGGAGTTTGCATGTTCTCCCCGTGTCTGCGTAGGTTTCCTCCAGGTACTCCGGTTTCCCCTACCACTAAAAATATGTACAATAGGTCTGGCATGTGCCTCCTGTACTGGCCCCACTCCCAAAAATAACAATTGTAAACCGCTTTGCGACTCCGATGTGCAGTGAAAAGGCGGTATATAAATAAAGATTACTTACTTACTTACAAGGCTGAGAAAGAGGCCGAGACAGATATGGGCAGAGCTTCATAAGCACCTCCGACAGCACGGGGCGGGTTTGGGGCGCAGGGTAGACGCAACATCTTGTATCGTGATAACTTCTCGCTCCCGGCACACGCACCCCTAGTTCCGACGTCTATGGGCACAGACCGAGCCGTGGCGAGGTTTATAAATGTTTTATTATATGACTATTTTTAATTTGTGCAAATATAAAATACCAATGCTTTTTACATATTTCACTGAGAATGCTCCCAGTCATGGCTCATTATTTATTTTTTACAGAGGAAAGATATAAAATGCAATACATGCTGCGGATCAGTTGTCATGGTAACGGTCCGAGATGGGAAAATATCAGACCGCAAATCAGCCAATCAGAGCGCACGAACGGTCCAAGTCATATAATAAAGAAGGATTATCACTAGAATCATTTCAAAATCTGTTTATTTTCTCATTCTAACGAGACATTTCTTCTTCTTAAAACCTTCTGCTTTGTTAAAGAATCTAGTTTTAGGCTCAGTCGGAAAGTGCTCAAACTAAAATGCACATATTGTTCATGACTTTCAGCGGTGATCGTCCTCAGAGTCCTGGAGCTCTCTCTGGCCCCGGTCGTGGCCATCGGACCGGTCTGGTTGCCACGGCGACGGTGTCTCCTCTCGATGGTCAGGTCTCGGTGCTAATCAGAAGAGCGTGAGAGCCGTGAGCTGATAATGGCGTGTGGCTCCAACGCCGAGTGACACCGCGGGTCAGAGCCGGGCCAGAGCTTTTAACTCCAAATGTCACGCCAATTAAGGATTTGTGAAATTAAACGGGCAATATCCAAATTAGCATTTTAGCCATTAGGCGTGAAGCCGCTCTAATGGGATTCCAGCGCCGTGTCTCCCATCGTCCTCCTCCTCTGTTCTCTCTCTGGTTCTGCTGTCGTTTATCAGTTTAATCAGCGGTGTGAGGATGAGGAGAGGAGAGGAGAGGAGAGGGGAGAGAGGAGAGGAGGAGTAGGGAGGATAGAGAGGAGAGGAGAGAGGAGGAGTGGGGAGGAGAGAGGGTCGGGGAGAGGAGAGAGGAGGAGATGAGAGTATAGAAGGAGAGGGAAGAGGGAAGGAGAGGAGGAGAGGAGAGGAGAGAGAAGAGAGGGTAGGGGAGAGGAGAGAGGAGGAGAGGGTCAGGGAGAGGAGATGGGAGTATAGAAGGAGAGGGAAGAGGGGAGGAGAGAGAAGAGAGGGGAGGGGAGAGGAGGAGAGAGGAGGAGAGGAGAGGAGAGGAGAGGAGGAGAGGGGAGGAGAGAGGAGGAGAGGAGAGGAGAGGAGGAGAGGGGAGGAGAGAGGAGGAGAGAGGAGGAGTAGGGAGGATAGAGAGGAGAGGAGAGAGGGTAGGGGAGAGGAGAGAGGAGGAGAGGGGAGGAGAGAGGGTCGGGGAGAGGAGAGAGGAGGAGAGGGTCAGGGAGAGGAGATGGGAGTATAGAAGGAGAGGGAAGAGGGGAGGAGAGAGAAGAGAGGGGAGGGGAGAGGAGGAGAGAGGAGGAGAGGAGAGGAGAGGAGAGGAGGAGAGGGGAGGAGAGAGGAGGAGAGGAGAGGAGAGGAGGAGAGGGGAGGAGAGAGGAGGAGAGAGGAGGAGTAGGGAGGATAGAGAGGAGAGGAGAGAGGGTAGGGGAGAGGAGAGAGGAGGAGAGGGAAGAGGGGAAGGAGAGGAGAGGAGAGAGGAGAGAGGAGGAGTGGGGAGGAGAGAGGGTCGGGGAGAGGAGAGAGGAGGAGATGAGAGTATAGAAGGAGAGGGAAGAGGGAAGGAGAGGAGGAGAGGAGAGGAGAGAGGAGAGAGAAGAGAGGGTAGGGGAGAGGAGAGAGGAGGAGAGGGTCAGGGAGAGGAGATGGGAGTATAGAAGGAGAGGGAAGAGGGGAGGAGAGAGAAGAGAGGGGAGGGGAGAGGAGGAGAGAGGAGGAGAGGAGAGGAGAGGAGAGGAGGAGAGGGGAGGAGAGAGGAGGAGAGGAGAGGAGAGGAGGAGAGGGGAGGAGAGAGGAGGAGAGAGGAGGAGTAGGGAGGATAGAGAGGAGAGGAGAGAGGGTAGGGGAGAGGAGAGAGGAGGAGAGGGGAGGAGAGAGGGTCGGGGAGAGGAGAGAGGAGGAGAGGGTCAGGGAGAGGAGATGGGAGTATAGAAGGAGAGGGAAGAGGGGAGGAGAGAGAAGAGAGGGGAGGGGAGAGGAGGAGAGAGGAGGAGAGGAGAGGAGAGGAGAGGAGGAGAGGGGAGGAGAGAGGAGGAGAGGAGAGGAGAGGAGGAGAGGGGAGGAGAGAGGAGGAGAGAGGAGGAGTAGGGAGGATAGAGAGGAGAGGAGAGAGGGTAGGGGAGAGGAGAGAGGAGAGGAGAGGGGAGAGGGGGAAGGAGAGGAGAGGAGAGAGGAGAGAGGAGGAGTGGGGAGGGAGAGAGGGTCGGGGAGAGGAGAGAGGAGGAGATGAGAGTATAGAAGGAGAGGGAAGAGGGAAGGAGAGGAGGAGAGGAGAGGAGAGAGAGAAGAGAGGGTAGGGGAGAGGAGAGAGGAGGAGAGGGTCAGGGAGAGGAGATGGGAGTATAGAAGGAGAGGGAAGAGGGGAGGAGAGAGAAGAGAGGGGAGGGGAGAGGAGGAGAGAGGAGGAGAGGAGAGGAGAGGAGGAGAGGGGAGGAGAGAGGAGGAGAGGAGATGAGAGGAGAGGAGGAGAGGGGAGGAGAGAGGAGGAGAGGAGATGAGCGGAGAAGAGGAGAGGGGAGGAGAGAGGAGGAGAGAGGAGGAGAGGAGATGGGAGGAGAGGGGAGGAGGAGAGGAGATGAGAGGAGAAGGGAGTAGAGGCGCAGAGAGGGGGTGAGAGGAGAAAGAAGTGGAGAGGAGAGGGGAGAAGGGGTGAGGATTGGAGAGGAGAAGAGAGAGGAGAGGGAAAGAGAGAGAGGGAGAAGGGAGATAAGGGAGAAGAGGGGAAGAGAGGAGGGGAGAGAGAGGGGGAGGGACGGAGAGGCGAGGAAAGAGAGGAGATGGGGGAAAAGAGAAAGGAGAAGGGGATGTATGATAAGAGAGAAGAGGAGAGAGGGGAGAGAAAGAGGGAGGAGGAGGAGAGGGGGATGTAAGATAACAGAGAAGAGGAGAGAGGGGAGAGAAAGAGGGAGGAGGAGGAGAGGGGGATGTAAGATAACAGAGAAGAGGGGAGAGAAAGGGGGAGGAGGAGGAGAGGGGGATGTAAGATAACAGAGAAGAGGAGAGAGGGGAGAGAAAGGGGGAGGAGGAGGAGAGGGGGATGTAAGATAACAGAGAAGAGGAGAGAGGGGAGAGAAAGGGGGAGGAGGAGGAGAGGGGGATGTAAGATAACAGAGAAGAGGAGAGAGGGGAGAGAAAGGGGGAGGAGGAGGAGAGGGGGATGTAAGATAACAGAGAAGAGGAGAGAGGGGAGAGAAAGAGGGAGGAGGAGGAGAGGGGGATGTAAGATAACAGAGAAGAGGAGAGAGGGGAGAGAAAGGGGGAGGAGGAGGAGAGGAGGATGTAAGATAACAGAGAAGAGGAGAGAGGGGAGAGAGGAAGGGGGGGAGGAGGAGGAGAGGGGGATGTAAGATAACAGAGAAGAGGAGAGAGGGGAGAAAGGGGGAGGAGGAGGAGAGGGGGATGTAAGATAACAGAGAAGAGGAGAGAGGGGAGAGAAAGGGGGAGGAGGAGGAGAGGGGGATGTAAGATAACAGAGAAGAGGAGAGAGGGGAGAGAAAGGGGGAGGAGGAGGAGAGGGGGATGTAAGATAACAGAGAAGAGGAGAGAGGGGAGAGAAAGGGGGAGGAGGAGGAGAGGGGGATGTAAGATAACAGAGAAGAGGAGAGAGGGGAGAGAAAGGGGGAGGAGGAGGAGAGGGGGATGTAAGATAACAGAGAAGAGGAGAGAGGGGAGAGAAAGGGGAGGAGGAGGAGAGGGGGATGTAAGATAACAGAGAAGAGGAGAGAGGGGAGAGAAAGGGGGAGGAGGAGGAGAGGGGGATGTAAGATAACAGAGAAGAGGAGAGAGGGGAGAGAAAGGGGGAGGAGGAGGAGAGGGGGATGTAAGATAACAGAGAAGAGGAGAGAGGGGAGAGAAAGGGGGAGGAGGAGGAGAGGGGGATGTAAGATAACAGAGAAGAGGAGAGAGGGGAGGAGAGAAGGGGGGGAGGATAACAGAGGAGGAGGAGAGGAAAGGGGGATGTAAGATAACAGAGAAGAGGAGAGAGGGGAGAGAAAGGGGGAGGAGGAGGAGAGGGGGATGTAAGATAACAGAGAAGAGGAGAGAGGGGAGAGAAAGGGGGAGGAGGAGGAGAGGGGGATGTAAGATAACAGAGAAGAGGAGAGAGGGGAGAGAAAGGGGGAGGAGGAGGAGAGGGGGATGTAAGATAACAGAGAAGAGGAGAGAGGGGAGAGAAAGAGGGGGAAGAAGAGAGGGGGATGGATAACAGAGAAGAGGGGAGAGGGGAGAGAAATGGGGAGGAGGAGGAGAGGGGGATGTAAGATAACAGAGAAGAGGAGAGAGGGGAGAGAAAGGAGGAGGAGGAGGAGAGGGGGATGTAAGATAACAGAGAAGAGGAGAGAGGGGAGAGAAAGGGGGAGGAGGAGGAGAGGGGGAGAGAAAGAGGGGGAAGAGAGAGGGGGATGTAAGATAACAGAGAAGAGGAGAGAGGGGAGAGAAAGAGGGGGAAGAAGAGAGGGGGATGTATGATAACAGAGAAGAGGGGAGAGGGGAGAGAAATGGGGAGGAGGAGGAGAGGGGGATGTAAGATAAGAGAGAAGAGGAGAGAGGGGAGAGAAAGGGGGAGGAGGAGGAGAGGGGGATGTAAGATAACAGAGAAGAGGAGAGAGGGGAGAGAAAGAGGGGGAAGAAGAGAGGGGGATGTATGATAACAGAGAAGAGGGAGAGGGGAGAGAAAGAGGGAGGAGGAGGAGAGGGGGATGTAAGATAACAGAGAAGAGGAGAGAGGGGAGAGAAAAGAGGGGGAAAAGAAAGAGAGGGGGATGTATGAATAACAGAGAAGAGGAGAGAGGGGAGAGAAAGAGGGGGAAGAGAGAGGGGGATGTTTGATAAGAGAGAAGAGGGGAGAGGGGAGAGAAAGAGGGGGAGGAGGAAGAGGGGGGATGTAAGATAACAGAGAAGAGGAGAGAGGGGAGAGAACGAGGGGAGAGAAAGAGGGGGGATGTAAGAGAGAAGAGGGGAGAGGGGAGAGAAAGGGGAGGAGGAGGAGAGGGGATGTAAGATAACAGAGAAGAGGAGAGAGGGGAGAGAAAGGGGGGGAGGAGGAGAGGGGGATGTATGATAAGAGGAGAGAGAAAGAGGGGAGAGAGGGGAGAGATAACAGAGAAAGGAGGAGGAGAGGGGGATGTAAGATAACAGAGAAGAGGAGAGAGGAGAGAGAAAGGGGGAGGAGGAGGAGAGGGGGATGTAAGATAACAGAGAAGAGGAGAGAGGAGAGAGAAAGGGGGAGGAGGAGGAAAGAGGGGGATGTATGATAACAGAGAAGAGGAGAGAGGGGAGAGAAAGAGGGGGAAGAAGAGAGGGGGATGTTTGATAAGAGAGAAGAGGAGAGAGAGGGGAGAGAAAGAGGGAGGAGGAGGAGAGGGGGGTGTAAGATAACAGAGAAGAGGAGAGAGGGGAGAGAAAGAGGGAGGAGGAAGAGAGGGGGATGTAAGATAACAGAGAAGAGAGGAGAGAGGGGAGAGAAAGGGGGAGGAGGAGGAGAGGGGGATGTAAGATAACAGAGAAGAGGAGAGAGGGGAGAGAAAGGGGGAGGAGGAGGAGAGGAGGATGTAAGATAACAGAGAAGAGGAGAGAGGGGAGGGAGAAAGGGGGAGGGGGGAGAGGGGGAGAGGGGGATGTAAGATAACAGAGAAGAGGAGGAGGGGAGAGAAAGGGGAGGGGAGGAGAGGGGGATGTAAGATAACAGAGAAGAGGGAGAGAGAGGGGAGAGAAAGGGGGGAGGAGGAGGAGAGGGGATGTAAGATAACAGAGAAGAGGAGAGAGGGGAGAGAAAGGGGGAGGAGGAGGAGAGGGGGATGTAAGATAACAGAGAAGAGGAGAGAGGGGAGAGAAAGGGGGAGGAGGAGGAGAGGGGGGATGTAAGATAACAGAGAAGAGGAGAGAGGGGAGAAAGAAAGAGGGGAGGAAGAGGAGAGGGGGGATGTAAGATAATGTAATACAGAGAAGAGGAGAGAGGGGAGAGAAAGGGGGAGGAGGAGGAGAGGGGATGTAAGATAACAGAGAAGAGGAGAGAGGGGAGAGAAAGAGGGGGAGGAGGAGAGAGGAGAGGGGATGTAAGATAACAGAGAAGAGGAGAGAGGGGAGAGAAAGGGGGAGGAGGAGGAGAGGAGGATGTAAGATAACAGAGAAGAGGAGAGAGGGGAGAGAAAGGGGGGAGGAGGAGGAGAGGAGGATGTAAGATAACAGAGAAGAGGAGAGAGGGGAGAGAAAGGGGGAGGGGGAGGAGAGGGGGATGTAAGATAACAGAGAAGAGGAGAGAGGGGAGAGAGAAAGGGGGAAGAGGAGGAGAGGGGGATGTATGATAACAGAGAAGAGGAGAGAGGGTCGTGAGAGAAAGGGGGAGGAGGAGGAGAGGGGGATGTAAGATAACAGAGAAGAGGAGAGGAGAGAGGGGGGAGAGAGAATGAGGGGGAGAGAAGAGAGGGGGATGAGAGGGGGGATGTATGATAACAGAGAAGAGGAGAGAGGGGAGAGAAAGAGGGGAAGAAGAGAGGGGGATGTATGATAAGAGAGAAGAGGGGAGAGGGGAGAGAAAGGGGGAGGAGGAGGAGAGGGGGATGTAAGATAACAGAGAAGAGGAGAGAGGGGGAGAGAAAGAGGGGGAAGAAGAGAGAGGGGGATGTATGATAACAGAGAAGAGGAGAGAGGGGAGAGAAATGGGGAGGAGGAGGAGAGGGGGATGTAGATAACAGAGAAGAGGAGAGAGGGGAGAGAAAGGGGGAGGAGGAGGAGAGGGGGATGTAAGATAACAGAGAAGAGGAGAGAGGGGAGAGAAAGAGGGGGAAGAAGAGAGGGGGATGTATGATAACAGAGAAGAGGAGAGAGGGGAGAGAAAGAGGGGGAAGAAGAGAGGGGGATGTATGATAAGAGAGAAGAGGGGAGAGGGGAGAGAAAGGGGGAGGAGGAGGAGAGGGGGATGTAAGATAACAGAGAAGAGGAGAGAGGGGAGAGAAAGAGGGGGAAGAAGAGAGGGGGATGTATGATAAGAGAGAAGAGGGGAGAGGGGAGGAAAGGGGGAGGAGGAGGAGAGGGGGATGTAAGATAACAGAGAAGAGGAGAGAGGGGAGAGAAAGAGGGGGAAGAAGAGAGGGGGATGTATGATAACAGAGAAGAGGAGAGAGGGGAGAGAAATGGGGAGGAGGAGGAGAGGGGGATGTAAGATAACAGAGAAGAGGAGAGAGGGGAGAGAAAGGGGGAGGAGGAGGAGAGGGGGATGTAAGATAACAGAGAAGAGGAGAGAGGGGAGAGAAATGGGGAGGAGGAGGAGAGGGGGATGTAAGATAACAGAGAAGAGGAGAGAGGGGAGAGAAAGAGGGGGAAGAAGAGAGGGGGATGTATGATAACAGAGAAGAGGAGAGAGGGGAGAGAAAGAGGGGGAAGAAGAGAGGGGGATGTATGATAAGAGAGAAGAGGGGAGAGGGGAGAGAAAGAGGGAGGAGGAGGAGAGGGGGGTGTAAGATAAGAGAGAAGAGGAGAGAGGGGAGAGAAAGAGAGGGAAGAAGAGAGGGGGATGTAAGATAAGAGAGAAGAGGGGAGAGGGGAGAGAAAGGGGGAGGAGGAGGAGAGGGGGATGTAAGATAACAGAGAAGAGGAGAGAGGGGAGAGAAAGGGGGAGGAGGAGGAGAGGGGGATGTAAGATAACAGAGAAGAGGAGAGAGAAAGGGGGAGGAGGAGGAGAGGGGGATGTAAGATAACAGAGAAGAGGAGAGAGAAAGGGGGAGGAGGAGGAGAGGGGGATGTAAGATAACAGAGAAGAGGAGAGAGGAGAGAGAAAGGGGGAGGAGGAGGAGAGGAGGATGTAAGATAACAGAGAAGAGGAGAGAGGAGAGAGAAAGGGGGAGGAGGAGGAGAGGAGGATGTAAGATAACAGAGAAGAGGAGAGAGGAGAGAGAAAGGGGGAGGAGGAGGAGAGGAGGATGTAAGATAACAGAGAAGAGGAGAGAGGGGAGAGAAAGGGGGAGGGGGAGGATGTAAGATAACAGAGAAGAGGAGAGAGGGGAGAGAAAGGGGGAGGGGGAGGAGAGGGACACTCGTTCTGCTTCACTCTCTCCGTCTCAGAGTAATGCATCTTTATTAAGCTCCGAGCTGCATCTCTGGAGACGCAGCGATCACTGTCAATTAGAGAAGGAGGCGCAGGGGGAGGAGCCTGTACACACACACACACACACACACACACACACACACACACACACACAAACACACATATAAACAAAACGCCCTGTATCTTTTCATAGTTATACCCAACTCATTTGATGTGACTGTGTGTGTGTGTCTCTCTCAGTGTGTGTGCGTGTCTGTGTACGTATGTCCCTCTGTGTGTGTGTGTCTCTCTCTCTCCCTCTGTGTGTGTCTCTCAGTGTGTGTGCGTGTCTGTGTAGGTATGTCCCTCTGTGTGTGTGTGTCTCTCTCTCTCTCCCTCTGTGTGTCTCTCTTAGTGTGTGTGCGTGTCTGTGTAGGTATGTCCCTCTGTGTGTGTGTGTGTGTCTCTCTCTCTCCCTCTGTGTGTGTCTCTCAGTGTGTGTGCGTGTGTGTGCAGGTATGTCCTTCTTTGCGTGTGTTGTCAGTTTAAGTGTGTCTCTCTCAGTGTGTCTGTGTGGGTGTGTCTCTCTCTCTCTGTGTAAGTGTGTGTCTCTGTGTGTGTGTCTCTGTGTAAGTGTGTATCTCTGTGTGTGTGTGTCTCTGTGTAAGTGTATGTCTCTGTGTGTGTGTGTCTCTGTGTAAGTGTATGTCTCTGTGTGTGTGTCTCTCTGTGTGTGTGTGTCAGTTTAAGTGTGTCTCTCTCAGTGTGTCTGTGTGTGTGTCTCTCTCTCTGTGTAAGTGTATGTCTCTGTGTGTGTGTGTGTCTCTGCGTGTGTGTGTGTGTGTGTCTCTCTCTCTGTGTAAGTGTATGTCTCTGTGTGTGTGTCTCTCTCTCAGTGTGTGTGTGTGTATGTGTGTCTCTCTCTCTATGTAAGTGTATGTCTCTGTGTGTGTGTGTGTCTCTCTCTGTGTGTGTGTGTCTGTGTGTGTGTGTGTCTGTGTGTGTGTGTGTGTCTCTCTCAGTGTGTGTGTGTCTCTGTGTGTGTGTCTCTCTGTGTTGGGTGGTCTTGTACATGTGGGATTATGTCAACCAAACGGTAAAGCCCTTTGTGTTGCATTTCTTGTATGAAAAGCGCTTCATAAATAACATTTGACTGATGAATTGATTTTAGCATTGACCAATAAACCGTGTGTTCAGTGTTAGACGTCCATCCAATGAAAAATTAAACTTTTAGAACTTATTTTATCCCTAACCCTCCAGGTGTAGAGGTAATATGTTCATCTGGATTTGGCTCAGAACTACCACTGTCAATTAGCAAAGGAGCGGGTTTGGGAAGAGGCCTGTTTCTCTTCATCAACATGTCCAAACACACACAGACACACACAGACTCACACAGACTGATGTATAGAAAGAGACGTGTTTATTAAAGCAGTCGCAGCAGCACAGCGAACACAAGAATGTCATCAGGCAAATACCAGGTGGGGAAAGAGAGACGGCGCCCGGCTTTATTCAAACACAGATATTACATTATCATTTCATCACGGCTCTCTGGCAATATGGCTTTTCAATCAGTAGATACACACATTATTTATTCATGGGTGCATTTTTAAAAGGCACACGAGATACAGCAGCAGCAGATCTCCACAGAGTTGACACAATCAAATATACATGAATATGAAATGTGTGTGATGAAGGGGGAGGGGCCGGCGCCGCTGAATTAGACCCTGTTCATCTGCGGCGAATTGACACAGAGCAGAGAAAGGAATAGGCGTCTTGGTTGTTTTTATTTTTCATTTAGCCGCACTTTCTCATTTGTCAGTGCAATAAATAGCAAGTGTGTGGAGGTATGTGTGTGTGTGTGTGTGTGTGTGTGTGTGTGTGTGTGTGTGTGTGTGTGTGTGGTCGGAACCATGTCCTTGCTTTTAGCCCACTCTCTCTTTAATGAGGCTTTGCAGCGAAAAGGAGCTCCCTCGGATTCTGGGTGTGCTCTGCATCTCAAACAGGTCTTGGCTCTCCTCGCTCTCTCACACACACACACACACAGACGCACACACACACACACGCACGCACACAGACGCACACACGCCTCTCCGGGTCGTGCTCGTGTTCCCAGGTCCTGCTGTGCCCTTCATTGATTGCTGGGTTTCTTGAACGATGTGAGAGCTTGTCAATGGGAGACAACCTTTATATGTGTGCCTCTCCAGCTGTTTTTCTTTTTTCCTTTCTTCCACACACCTCTCTGTTCCCCACTGTGTCGCTCCCTCCTAACCTCATGTTTATGGATCCCACTATAAGTCTGGCTGTTCGTCAACACTGTGCTGTCAGGAGTCCTTCACAAACGCCCATGAATAATGAAAACATTGGTATGGACTTGATAAGACTCTCTGAAGTGGCTGTTGGTGCCCTGTGGTATTTCTGCAGAATACGCAAAGGGTGACAAGAAATTGCTAAATGCCAGATGTCGGGCTAACCAGGGCTGACGGTGTCTCGCTCTGGCCATGACTGGGCATTAATGCTGCAGATGGAGAAAGTGCTGAGTGGTCTGTCATCCTCTACAGATCTTTGATGGTGCAACCGATCGAACACACTGTAGCTTGACGCAACAACGAGAGCTCAGAGAAAGCCACCATCGCCTCAGAACTCGAGTGTCGGTGCAATCATGACGGACTGTTACAACTGATATATATATTGTCTTGTTTGAAATGAAAACACCAATTAAATGTGTGATGAGGTCGATGGAAATGGGCTGCTCCACGGCCCGCATCGGTCTCAAGGGACCAATTAATGGGCTCTTGTGCAGATCACAGCAGTTCAATGGCTGGTGTGGTTCTGATTTTATGAGACAGCCGCACGAGTAGTTTTCAAGACATCATTTCATCTGCCTCCACAAAAGATGTAAGCCACAACTATGTTTAAATCATCTGGACATAGAGTTATAAGTCTATCTGCAGAGACAGGGGGAAGAAGAAGTCCACTTGAAGTTTTGAAAAGGCCTGTAGCATCTGGAGTCTGCTGTGGCTGTGGCGGTCTGGACCTGGACTTGGGGGTGGTCTGGAGCCTCCTCTGGGTCGTGTGGGGGTCTGGACCTGGACTTGGGGGAGGTCTGGAGCCTCCTCTGGGTCGTGTGGGGGTCTGGACCTGGACTTGGGGGAGGTCTGGAGCCTCCTCTGGGTCGTGTGGGGGTCTGGACCTGGACTTGGGGGAGGTCTGGAGCCTCCTCTGGGTCGTGTGGGGGTCTGGACCTGGACTTGGGGGAGGTCTGGAGCCTCCTCTGGGTCGTGTGGGGGTCTGGACCTGGACTTGGGGGAGGTCTGGAGCCTCCTCTGGGTCGTGTGGGGGTCTGGACCTGGACTTGGGGGTGGTCTGGAGCCTCCTCTGGGTCGTGTGGGGGTCTGGACCTGGACTTGGGGGAGGTCTGGAGCCTCCTCTGGGTCGTGTGGGGGTCTGGACCTGGACTTGGGGGAGGTCTGGAGCCTCCTCTGGGTCGTGTGGGGGTCTGGACCTGGACTTGGGGGAGGTCTGGAGCCTCCTCTGGGTCGTGTGGGGGTCTGGACCTGGACTTGGGGGTGGTCTGGAGCCTCCTCTGGGTCGTGTGGGGGTCTGGACCTGGACTTGGGGGAGGTCTGGAGCCTCCTCTGGGTCGTGTGGGGGTCTGGACCTGGACTTGGGGGTGGTCTGGAGCCTCCTCTGGGTCGTGTGGGGGTCTGGACCTGGACTTGGGGGAGGTCTGGAGCCTCCTCTGGGTCGTGTGGGGGTCTGGACCTGGACTTGGGGGAGGTCTGGAGCCTCCTCTGGGTCGTGTGGGGGTCTGGACCTGGACTTGGGGGAGGTCTGGAGCCTCCTCTGGGTCGTGTGGGGGTCTGGACCTGGACTTGGGGGAGGTCTGGAGCCTCCTCTGGGTCGTGTGGGGGTCTGGACCTGGACTTGGGGGAGGTCTGGAGCCTCCTCTGGGTCGTGTGGGGGTCTGGACCTGGACTTGGGGGAGGTCTGGAGCCTCCTCTGGGTCGTGTGGGGGTCTGGACCTGGACTTGGGGGAGGTCTGGAGCCTCCTCTGGGTCGTGTGGGGGTCTGGACCTGGACTTGGGGGAGGTCTGGAGCCTCCTTGGGGTTGCGTGGGGTCTGGACTTCACACTTGGGATAAACTGAATCTGAATATATTTTAATAAAAAAGCGTATTATTTTGAAGATTTTTGTATGTTAAAAGCAGAGACTTGCGGAGGTGTGTGTGTGTGTGTCTGTGTGTGTGTCTGTGTGTGTGTATGTGTTTGTGTGTGTTTGTAAAGTATGTAAGTAAGTAATTTTTTTTATATAGCACATTTTACAGACCAAAGTTACCCAAAGCGCTTTACAATGAATGAGATTGTTTTTACCCAAACTGTAAATCTATTCGTGTTAGAGATCCATCCAGCGAAACTTTTAACGTAAACATTTCTCTTTCCCTTTACTCTTGGTGTAGACGTAAAACATTCATCTGGATCTAAAACCATAACCGTGTTGTTTGGCCTTTTCCGTGTCACGCCGAGTTGTTTTTCAAGGACAGAGTGGGATATCTGCTCATTAGCGGCCCGTCTGAACTCTTCTTAATGAATGCTTTCAGCCCGTAATGAAAATGATTGTTCTTGAGTGTGAGTAAATCAAAAGGTGTTTAAAGCATGTGCTGCCGTCTCGCTCGCCTGCACTTCATCGATGCGCCGCGGTCCACGAGGCGTCCGAAGGCGGCGACACCATGGTTACAGCGGCCAGCACCCTTGAGAAATCAAACTCCCATTTAGGCCACGGCTCAATACTACTGCTCCGTATCGACCGGCCGCACTAAAACAGTGTGAGTGTGGAACAGCGAGGGGTGGGCCACAATGAAGAGGGACAACCGCAGAGAAGCTGCAGCCATGGATTTATCTGGTATTGACGACGCTTTATGGTAAAACATCTGTGGACGTCGGACCTGTTCACCGGATTCTGTTATGAAAGTTTTCTGTGCACGATGCAACTCGATATGAAGCTATTGTCTCCCACGGTACATGCCAAACACAATCACTGGAGCGTCCCGAAGTGAGAGACGGCCTCAAGCGCTTTCAAAAGAGCAAAGAAAACAAGAGAAGCCGGTTTGTGATGTAGCTGCAGAGCAAAGAGCCTCTTTACTGATGCAGGAGGGTCCGAGGACAGAGGGGACCATCCAGGACCCTCCATCGGCCTCTGCCTCGGACCAATGGATCTATGTCAGGGGTCTCCGGCCTGTAGCTCGCCAAAGGATTAAGAATTGAACACATGACATTTTGAGACAATACATTTAATAATAATAATAATAATAATAATGCATCGGTTTTATATAGCGCTTTTTTGGACACTCAAAGACGCTTCACATGTGTCATTATTCTTTTACTCCATACACGGTGGTGATAATCTACTACTGTAGCCACAGCTGCCCTGGGGCACACTGACAGAAACAAGGCAACCAGTCTGTGCCATCGGACCCTATAACCCTAACCTCCCCTCTCCCACCAAACCACTCCCCCCTCCCCTCCCCCCTCCCCCCTCTCCACCCCCTCCCCCCCCCCTCCCCCTCCCCTCCCTCTCCACCAAACCACTCCCCCCTCCCCTCCCTCTCCACCAAACCAAACATCCAGCCTTGTCTTTTCTCTGTCACAACAGGGAGAGTGTGCGGCAAACGTGAAATTGCCATTTTCTGTTCAGTCATTTTAGTTTTTGGAAAATCCGATAAATCTGGTGCACTCGGAGAAACAGGAAGTGGGTGACACCGACTGCATCTTTAATGTACACCGTCCCTGTCAAATAAACAAATAATAAAAAATCCAAGTGTTTTAAAACCTTCAGTGCGATACTTCAACCCTGCGAAGATTCAGAAACTGGTGATTTACCTCCAAAGAAATCGGACTACACTCCAGACGGACTAAATCACAGTTTGCCAAGACCTTGTACCGCTCTGGTTGAACTTGCAAATGAGTCGAGGAGCCTTCAGCTTCTTCAAACTCAGCTTTGAAACAGAGCAAATCAATGTCAATCCAAGTTTACTCACATTTTCTATCGCCGTATTCTCTTCTGCCACCTTTCCACCTTCACTTTTCTTACTAACAAATGCCAAAGGATACTGGGGTTTTCCTTCTCTAAGCTTTCATACTATTGTCACTGCGTATTAGCATTAGCATAAGCCGAGAACATGCTATCACTTGTCTGCATAAGTCCCTTCTGTTTACGTTATGGTTTATGTGTTGGGTTAATTGAAATTTAACCCGTAGACGTTGTTAAACTAGATATTAAAGAAGCGGTTGTCCTGGCTCGCTCTCGGTCCCGGGCCCTCTCTGTCAAGTCTCCTCCACATTTACTAAATTTCATACCGAGGCTCTTAAATTCCAATCAGTTATGCCGCCGCGGCGCTGTTCGGAGCTGTCAGCATGCTAAATTGCCAGGTGCGGCTTTAGCAGCGATTTAAAAATAAATTTTACACGACTTAATTTCATCACTCCTCAGGCATCGACCCTAAGTCTCGAGGGTGTCAGAATTGCTTTTCAATCACAAATATAGCGGCGGGGGCTTGGCAGGTGAGCGCCAAGGCGAGATAGGATCGGTCGGGGTTGGGTTTCGGCGGTGGATGTGTGTAATGAGCGTGGCGGCGGCGGCGCGAGGTCGGCACAGCGGTCGCCAATCTAATCAGCGCAGCAGCTCATTCTCCCGGAGATGTGTAGGAGAATTAGATATTTAACGTGGGGCAGTTTTCATCGTCCAATCAGGCGGTCTCGGGCCTGCTCACACGGCGGACACCTTGTTAGACGCCACACAATCAGGAGGCGTGGGAGGCCCGGCAGCAGGCCCTGATTGAATGCGGGTGTTTTCGGAAGCTTAGCACAATCAGAGCTGTTTGTGAGGGAGAGTGTCGCTGGCATTGACAGGTGACGTCTGGAGACTGGCACAAATTGGCAATCAGATGAGGTTGGCATGGACGCTGCTTTTTACTCGCCGGGTTCCCAACGCCAATTTGCTTTTCCGCGATCCCTCTTTCACCCAGACTGATTTAACTTGACCCCGTCAGGTGCTCCTGACAACAACCATTACCATCTCAATTACACTATATATCTTATTCGTAGCTTCTTCTTCTTCTCCGTGCTCTGGGACTAAACCGTGCGCTTGGCCATGGACTGCTTTTCCGAATATCTCCCATTGCCAGTCTATCAGCGGTCTCCATCTTGGCTTCTTAATTAGCCTGGGTGGGCCATCACTTTAGCTGTCATTAAGGTAACTGAACAGATGTGGGGAGGCAGGAGAGAGGGATGGAGAGATGGGGAGTTGATCCATGAGGACTGACAACAGAAACGACAGTCGAGAGAGATGGCATCAACACCTGCGGGTTTCCTTCAGCCGTTCACAAACATGTGTACGCAAGACTGACAAGACGTGTGCAAATGTTTTATGTCATTTACCAACGCAGCATTGTTCCAAGAGTCATCCAAGTATACTCGAGTACATGAAACCCTGTATTCACTGCAAATGATGATAA